AAAACTTGCTCCAACAGCGTTCAAAAAATGGCAATAAAAATTAATTTTTTCCATTTCTACAATGCTTAAATCTACTTTTGTTGCAATCCTGTTATCAGAATTTGAGATGGCTAGTCATAGTTATACAGTTCAAAACCCTCATTTCAATACATATATATACATATACTGTATATATGTGTGTGTGTGTGCGTGCGTGCGTGTGTGCTTGAGTGAGTGTGTGCGTGAGTGTGTGCAAAGATGTGCATATATATGCATTTTTAAAATGTGAGTTAACTTAATATGCCAATTTTTCAATATTTTTTAAAACATAATTAAAAACAGATTAATTATTGCATTAAGGGGTGAAAAAAATCGCATGTACAGGGTTGAACATGTAGCCTAAATAAAGCTGTAATTCAGTATATAGTAACAAATGCTGGTTTGATAAATGTATAATTCTCACAGACTGAAAAAAAAAAAGATAATTTTCTTGAATGGTTGAACTTGATAAATGCAGTCAACATTAAACTGTGTAAAAATGAACAAAAAAAGGAAAGAGGTTTATTTAATGGTAAACATTATATACTGTATATTGTAAAGATTATTGCAAATATTACACATTATAAAAATATTTAATTTTAAATGATGTTTTGGGTTATTAAAATAAGTTATAAAATCAAAAATATTTTCTACAGTGAATTTAATATATTTATTTAACACCTTATGCTACGATGTAGTTTGTTTTTATTAAAGGTTAAGACTGCTGAAACAGGACAGACACAAATCATAATTTTAGAAAGGTATTACTGATATTTGATTTGTTTAATTCTAGCTTGTTACTGCATCACAATTACTAGTTAAATCTTAGATTAATAGTTCTCCGAAGAACATGGGATTTTTGGCTTATTATTTAAAAGGCAATGGGACTCTGTTAGTGGACAGTGGCACTATTCTTAATGTGTTTTCTCATGCGCTGACAGAGGGACTTCAGAGCATTGAATATTCTGTGCTGCGTCTCCTGGAGTGTTTGTCTTTGTAGTGAGCGGCAGTAAAGGACACATTCTGTGGCATATCCAGAGAAATGACCCTGCCGCGACCCTTAACCTCTCCTTTAATTATTTGTTTGAAGACAGCATGGGGTTCCCATGTGGAGCGCAGCGGCAGGCGGGGGAGTGTGTGTGTGTGTGTGTGTGTGTGTGTGTGTGAGAGA